CATGCTAGTCAAGATAGATTTGAGTAAGGTGATCCTACCTCTAAATGATAGCATTTTAATCTTCCAACCAGCAAGCTTTTTCCTCACTTTTTCCAAAAGTGGATCCCAAAATCTAGTTGAGTTATGTTTAGCACTTAAGGGGAGCCCAAGGTAAGTGGTGGGTAAATATCCTACCTTGCATATGATTTTTTCGGCCCATCTTTCTACCAGCCTCTGATCAATCCTTATCCTAATAAGATGGCTCTTTGTGAAGTTGACTTTGAGGCTTAAAACACTTTAGTAACATTCAAAAATCCTCTTGAGAATTAAAAGGTTTTCAAGATCCGCATCAGAAAATAAGATTGTGTCATCTGCATATTGCAAATGTGTAAAAGACAAACCATTTCTCCTAATTATGACTCCTTTGCAAATCCTGATACTCTCTACTTTACATAACATGGCACTGAGGGCTTCACCCGCAGTGTTGAACAAGAGAGGAGAAAGAGGACATCCTTGCCGAAGGCCCCTTTTCATACCGAATTGTCTTGATGGTGAACCATTGACCAGAAAAAAATTTTGGTAATGAAAATACACTCCTTAATCCAGCATCTACATTTGACTCCAAACCCCATATCTCCCATCACATGGTCAAGAAAGTTCCAACTAATGCTATCAAAGGCTTTTTCAAAGTCTAGTTTAAGAATTATACCTCTGGAAACATCTTTTTTCAACCAATCAACAATTTCGTTAGCTATGAGCGCTCAGTCTAGCAATTGCCTTCCTTTGATGAAGGCAAATTGATTATTCCCAATAAGTTCACCTATGACAATTTCAGTTTGTTGGTAAGAGTTTTTGCTAAAATCTTATACAAGCTACTCACAAGATTGATAGGACGATATTCACTTAGGCTGGTTGGATTAAGAACCTTGGAGATAAGGGCAATAAAAGAGGTATTCACACTGTGCCCGAGTTTACCACTAGAAAAAAACTCATTCATAAACCTCAACACATCACATTTAATAATTGGCCACTGCTTTTTGAAAAAATTCAAGTTATATCCGTCAGGCTCAAGAGCTTTGTTGCCATCATGACCTTGAATCGTCTCCCAAATCTCATCCTCCTCAAACGGACATTCCAAGAAACCAACAGATTCCTCTTCCATATTTTACCCCTCCCTAATAGCTTCCTCTTCAATTCTTGAAAAGAGTCTTCTCACATCTTCCCTATTCTTCTGAAAATTCATGTCCAACCTTCTACTAACTTCCCATGTTAGGATTGACTCACTATTTTCTTTTCGTGGAGAATCAGTGGACCCGCGTTCTGATAAGGTAGAATAAGATGAAATGATGTTTGGTACTTTATCAAGATCCATATCATCTCATATCTCTTTCCTCATTTTTCTTCTTTTAGCAAAGTTAAGGGGTTTCAAAATTCTGAGTTGGTTTTCCTCTTGATTTGAATCTATCACTTTTTTGAGTTGGTCATTCCTTTTGCTGGAACCCAAAGATAACTCTCTATGAGTGCCCCTACATAAGTCAAAAATTATATTTTCTGACTCATCTAGCCCCACCAAAACTCTATCACCATTGACTGTAGGAGATTTACCGTACAGAGTAGCAGTCAGCTCCAAACCTCTAATTCGGACTTCCCTAATGAATGAAGAGCTTGGAGTATCCCCACTTTCACTGCTGCATTCTTATGTGACATTTACCACATTATTGGATGAAGCTGGGATTCTCTTACTATCAATGTTATTAATCCCGTTGCTGACGGCTTTCTTGGATTTACCAGAAAGAGATTGACAGCCCATCTTCTTCTTTGGCTCATTGCACAACACCCTTTCCTCACTACAACCCAGAATTCTGTTATCATTGACAGCTTGGACCTTGCGCCTAAAAGATTGATCTGCTACAATCCTTAAGGCCTTTAGCGGGCTTGCTTAAGTTCAGCTCATTATGCATTTCTATCTATGAGATGTTTTGAAACAGAGAAGGTTAATGATACAATTGCATCATGAATTTTCCTATTTTGGTCATCTAAAGTAGTATTTCCATTTTTATATATTTTTTTAATAACTTTTAACATATTTTGTTGTTGATCTTAAATAAGACAATTATCCCACTATCCTTTCAATTGTTCAAAAAATTCTGCTATTAAAGATTTGGTTTTGAGTTTTATAAATACTCTGAGACTATGGTTGTTTGTTGAAGAATATTAAGAATGTTATATTTAAACATCTATCAATGTTCCATTCATATATTACATTTGCATTATATTTATTTCGAAACATGATGTATATAAGTTTGCGTCTATGTTCATGTTTGAGATAGTAGCTTTCAGGTAGTATTATTTTTGTGGTTCTTTCCATGCTATTTTGTCAATTTGTCCAACTTGGTCTGATTTAACTTAATTTGTTCATTTATCATGTTTATTAAGCCTTGATCTGGAGTGTCTGGAGCAATCTTTTGGGATATTCTCAAGGGTTTTCCTTCTAAATTATTTAGTCTATTTTGGATTTCTCTTAAGAAATCTTTTTGGTATTCTTGATGACATCTTTTTGGAACGTCCTGTGGCTTGAATATGGCTTCAGTATGTGCTTTCTTTCCTTCTTTTTTCTCTTTGTTTGATTTTTGGTTGATTTTATACTAAATTTTTTATCTTATCAAGCTGTTTACCAATGGGGTCAGAATGTAAATTATATAATTGTTTTGTTCAATGATCACATTTTTTGAAGAGATTTATTCTCCTAATTCAAGATTCCTAGCCCTTAAAAGGGATGCTCCTATTTTTACATTTTTGTCTTGCTATACACGACTTAAGTCGTATGAAAAAAAAAAGGTTTTAAAAATCTAAAAATAGACAAGTTGGTCCTGTTACTATGTTACAAGAGCATAAATTTTATATTTTAAAATTTGTGTTGTGCAAAGTTGAATAAGCTATATATTTAAACAAAGCTAGTAGCATTGTAATCTATTTACTTAACAATATCGTAATTTAATTATATCATTGACAATATCGTAATCTAATTGCATGATAAGTTAATAGTATCTTAATTTAAAAGAATCACATTAATTTAGTCTATAATCTATATAATTGCTATAATTATATTAACACAACCATTTCCCGGACGTTGCTTCGTCAAAACATAATCTATTGCAAACAATTCCACTACAAGAAAGTTTCCTTGGACAAAAGATAATCAAGGCTCTCCAAATGGGCCTTATCAACCTCCTCATTCTCAAGACTACTACTACTACTCCAATGCCCAATTTAATCAGTCTTCATCACCAGGTTCTCTTTATCCCATTCATCAGTTTCTTCTGTAGAATCATTTCGCACCTAAGCACGCTTCTTTCCTCAATACCTTGTCTACTAATGAAGAACCTAAGTTTTTTGCTCAAGCGATAAAATTTCCAGAATGGCATGAAGCTGTGCAAGCTGAGATTAATGCTCTTGAGGTCAATAATACATGGAGTCCTGTCTCGCTTCCTCTAGGAAATTAAACAACCCATTGGCTGCAAATGGGTTTATAAAATTAAATGACATTGCGATAGGTCCATTGAAAGATATAAGGCCAATCCTGTTGCTAAAGGATACACTCAGCTTAAAGGGATTGATTACCATGAAATATTTTTTTTTCTTTTGTGGCCAAACTTGTAACTGTTGGAGTACCACTTGCTGTTGCAACAACTATTCATTCGACCTTTTTATCAACTTGACGTGGATAATGCATTTCTTCATGATAATCTAAGGTAGATTATTCCATATTTTATTGTCATACATCCACTAACAACTTGCTTGTTTTGGTCTACGTTAAGGATCTCGATTGCCTTTAATATTTCTTGGGGTTTGAAGTATGTTCTTGACATTCTTGCTGATGTAGGCTTATCTGTCGCAGAGCCCACTGCTTCCCCCAAGGAACAGCCCCTCGAACTTATATACTTTAATGGTGAACTCCTCTTAGATCCTTCA